AACATAGGTGAATTGATCGAAACTAGGCTTAAACGGCGTCCTTTGGGGGGGGGACCATTGTTTGTCCAGAGGATAGTCACGGCCTGAGGATTACATCGGTGCAAGAGAAATTCCAGTAGGATTAGCGGAACATAGGTGAATTGATCGAAACTGGGCTGAAACGGATTCCAACGGGCACGCTGATTCTTTGTCCAGAGGATAGTCACGGCCTGAGGATTACATTGGTGCAAGATCAATTCCAGTAGGAATGGCGGAACATAGGTGAATTGATCGAAACTAGGCTTAAACGGCGTCCTATGGGGGGGGGACCATTGTTTGTCCAGAGGATAGTCACGGCCTGATGATTACATTGGTGGAAGAGAAATTCCAGTAGGATTAGCGGAACATAGGTGAATTGATCGAAACTGGTCTGAAACGGATTCCTACGTGCACGCTGATTCTTTGTCCAGAGGATAGTCACGGCCTGAGGATTACATTGGTGCAAGATAAATTCCAGTAGGATTAGCGGAACATAGGTGAATTGATCGAAACTGGGCTCAAACGGCGTCCTATGGGGGGGGACCATTGTTTGTCCAGAGGATAGTCACGGCCTGAGGATGACATTGGTGCAAGAGAAATTCCAGTAGGATTAGCGGAACATAGGTGAATTGATCGAAACTGGGCTTAAACGGATTCCTACGTGCACGCTGATTCTCTGTCCAGAGGATAGTCACGGCCTGAGGATTACATTGGTGCAAGATAAATTCCAGTAGGATTAGCGGAACATAGGTGAATTGATCGAAACTGGGCTCAAACGGCGTCCTATGGGGGGGACCATTGTTTGTCCAGAGGATAGTCACGGCCTGAGGATTACATTGGTGCAAGAGAAATTCCAGTAGGATTAGCGGAACATAGGTGAATTGATCGAAACTGGGCTTAAACGGCGTCCTATTGGGGGGGGGACCATTGTTTGTCCAGAGGATAGTCACGGCCTGATGATTACATTGGTGCAAGAGAAATTCCAGTAGGATTAGCGGAACATAGGTGAATTGATCGAAACTGGTCTGAAACGGATTCCAACGTGCACGCTGATTCTTTGTCCAGAGGATAGTCACGGCCTGAGGATTACATTGGTGCAAGATAAGTTCCAGTATGATTAGCGGAAGATAGGTGGATTGATCGAAACTGGGCTGAAACGGCGTCCTATGGGGGGGGGGACCATTGTTTGTCCAGAGGATAGTCACGGCCTGAGGATTACATTGGTGCAAGAGAAATTCCAGTATGATTAGCGGAACATAGGTGAATTGATCGAAACTGGGCTGAAACGGCGTCCTATGGGAGGGGGGACCATTGTTTGTCCAGAGGATAGTCACGGCCTGAGGATTACATTGGTGCAAGAGAAATTCCAGTATGATTAGCGGAACATAGGTGAATTGATCGAAACTGGGCTGAAACGGCGTTCTATGGGGGGGGGGATCATTGTTTGTCCAGAGGATAGTCACGGCCTGAGGAATTCATTGGTGCAAGAGAAATTCCAGTAGGATTAGCGGAACATAGGTGAATTGATCGAAACTGGTCTTAAACGGCGTCCTATAGGTGAGGACCATTGATTGTCCAGAGGATAGTCACGGCCTGAGGATTACATTGGTGCAAGAGAAATTCCAATAGGATTAGCGGAACATAGGTGAATTGATCGAAACTGGTCTGAAACGGATTCCTACGTGCACGCTGATTCTTTGTCCAGAGGATAGTCACGGCCTGAGGATTACATTGGTGCAAGAGAAATTCCAGTATCATTAGCGGAACATAGGTGGATTGATCGAAACTAGGCTTAAACGGCGTCCTATGGGGGGGGGGGGGACCATTGTTTGTCCAGAGGATAGTCACGGCCTGAGGATGACATTGGTGCAGGTGGAATTCCAGTAGGATTAGCGGAACATAGGTGAATTGATCGAAACTGGGCTTAAACGGATTCCTACGTGCACGCTGATTCTCTGTCCAGAGGATAGTCACGGCCTGAGGATTACATTGGTGCAAGATAAATTCCAGTAGGATTAGCGGAACATAGGTGAATTGATCGAAACTGGGCTGAAACGGCCTCCAATGGGGGGGGACCATTGTTTGTCCAGAGGATAGTCACGGCCTGAGGATTACATTGGTGCAAGAGAAATTCCAGTAGGATTAGCGGAACATAGGTGAATTGATCGAAACTGGGCTGAAACGGCGTCCTATTGGGGGGGGGACCATTGTTTGTCCAGAGGATAGTCACGGCCTGATGATTACATTGGTGCAAGAGAAATTCCAGTAGGATTAGCGGAACATAGGTGAATTGATCGAAACTGGTCTGAAACGGATTCCTACGTGCACGCTGATTCTTTGTCCAGAGGATAGTCACGGCCTGAGGATTACATTGGTGCAAGATAAGTTCCAGTATGATTAGCGGAAGATAGGTGGATTGATCGAAACTGGGCTTAAACGGCGTCCTATGGGAGGGGGGACCATTGTTTGTCCAGAGGATAGTCACGGCCTGAGGATTACATTGGTGCAAGAGAAATTCCAGTATGATTAGCGGAACATAGGTGAATTGATCGAAACTGGGCTTAAACGGCGTCCTATGGGAGGGGGGACCATTGTTTGTCCAGAGGATAGTCACGGCCTGAGGATTACATTGGTGCAAGAGAAATTCCAGTATGATTAGCGGAACATAGGTGAATTGATCGAAACTGGGCTGAAACGGCGTTCTATGGGGGGGGACCATTGTTTGTCCAGAGGATAGTCACGGCCTGAGGAATTCATTGGTGCAAGAGAAATTCCAGTAGGATTAGCGGAACATAGGTGAATTGATCGAAACTGGGCTTAAACGGCGTCCTATAGGTGAGGACCATTGATTGTCCAGAGGATAGTCACGGCCTGAGGATTACATTGGTGCAAGAGAAATTCCAGTATGATTAGCGGAACATAGGTGAATTGATCGAAACTAGGCTTAAACGGCGTCCTATGGGGGGGACCATTGTTTGTCCAGAGGATAGTCACGGCCTGAGGATTACATTGGTGCAAGAGAAATTCCAGTATGATTAGCGGAACATAGGTGAATTGATCGAAACTAGGCTTAAACGGCGTCCTATGGGGGGGGGACCATTGTTTGTCCAGAGGATAGTCACGGCCTGAGGATTACATTGGTGCAAGAGAAATTCCAGTAGGATTAGCGGAACATAGGTGAATTGATCGAAACTGGGCTGAAACGGATTCCAACGGGCACGCTGATTCTTTGTCCAGAGGATAGTCACGGCCTGAGGATTACATTGGTGCAAGAGAAATTCCAGTAGGATTAGCGGAACATAGGTGAATTGATCGAAACTAGGCATGAACGGCGTCCTATGGGGGGGGACCATTGTTTGTCCAGAGGATAGTCACGGCCTGAGGATTACATTGGTGCAAGAGAAATTCCAGTAGGATTAGCGGAACATAGGTGAATTGATCGAAACTGGGCTCAAACGGATTCCTACGTGCACGCTGATTCTTTGTCCAGAGGATAGTCACGGCCTGAGGATTACATTGGTGCAAGATAAGTTCCAGTAGGATTAGCGGAACATAGGTGAATTGATCGAAACTGGGCTCAAACGACCTACTATGGGGGGGGACCATTGTTTGTCCAGAGGATAGTCACGGCCTGAGGATTACATTGGTGCAAGAGAAATTCCAGTATGATTAGCGGAACATAGGTGAATTGATCGAAACTGGGCTTAAACGGCGTCCTATGAGGGGGGGACCATTGTTTGTCCAGAGGATAGTCACGGCCTGAGGATTACATTGGTGCAAGAGAAATTCCAGTAGGATTAGCGGAACATAGGTGAATTGATCGAAACTGGTCTGAAACGGATTCCAACGTGCACGCTGATTCTTTGTCCAGAGGATAGTCACGGCCTGAGGATTACATTGGTGCAAGAGAAATTCCAGTAGGATTAGCGGAACATAGGTGAATTGATCGAAACTGGCTGAAACGGCGTCCTATGGGAGGGGGGACCATTGTTTGTCCAGAGGATAGTCACGGCCTGAGGATTACATTGGTGCAAGAGAAATTCCAGTAGGATTAGCGGAACATAGGTGAATTGATCGAAACTGGGCTGAAACGGATTCCTACGTGCACGCTGATTCTTTGTCCAGAGGATAGTCACGGCCTGAGGATTACATTGGTGCAAGATAAGTTCCAGTAGGATTAGCGGAAGATAGGTGAATTGATCGAAACTGGGCTCAAACGGCCTCCCATGGGGGGGACCATTGTTTGTCCAGAGGATAGTCACGGCCTGAGGATTACATTGGTGCAAGATCAATTCCAGTAGGATTAGCGGAACATAGGTGAATTGATCGAAACTGGGCTGAAACGGCGTCCTATGGGGACCATTGTTTGTCCAGAGGATAGTCACGGCCTGAGGATTACATTGGTGCAAGATAAATTCCAGTAGGATTAGCGGAACATAGGTGAATTGATCGAAACTGGTCTGAAACGGATTCCAACGTGCACGCTGATTCTTTGTCCAGAGGATAGTCACGGCCTGAGGATTACATTGGTGCAAGATAAGTTCCAGTAGGATTAGCGGAACATAGGTGAATTGATCGAAACTGGGCTTAAACGGCCTCCTATATGTGAGGACCATTTTTTGTCCAGAGGATAGCCGTGGCCTGAGGATTACATTGGTGCAAGAGAAATTCCAGTATGATTAGCGGAACATAGGTGAATTGATCGAAAGTGGGCTTAAACGGCGTCCTATGGGAGGGGGGACCATTGTTTGTCCAGAGGATAGTCACGGCCTGAGGATTACATTGGTGCAAGAGAAATTCCAGTATGATTAGCGGAACATAGGTGAATTGATCGAAACTGGGCTGAAACGGCGTTCTATGGGGGGGGACCATTGTTTGTCCAGAGGATAGTCACGGCCTGAGGAATTCATTGGTGCAAGAGAAATTCCAGTAGGATTAGCGGAACATAGGTGAATTGATCGAAACTGGGCTTAAACGGCGTCCTATAGGTGAGGACCATTGATTGTCCAGAGGATAGTCACGGCCTGAGGATTACATTGGTGCAAGAGAAATTCCAGTAGGATTAGCGGAACATAGGTGAATTGATCGAAACTGGGCTGAAACGGATTCCAACGGGCACGCTGATTCTTTGTCCAGAGGATAGTCACGGCCTGAGGATTACATTGGTGCAAGAGAAATTCCAGTAGGATTAGCGGAACATAGGTGAATTGATCGAAACTGGTCTGAAACGGATTCCTACGTGCACGCTGATTCTTTGTCCAGAGGATAGTCACGGCCTGAGGATAACATTGATGCAAGAGAAATTCCAGGAGGATTAGCGGAACATAGGTGAATTGATCGAAACTGGTCTGAAACGGATTCCAACGGGCACGCTGATTCTTTGTCCAGAGGATAGTCACGGCCTGAGGATTACATTGGTGCAAGAGAAATTCCAGTAGGATTAGCGGAACATAGGTGAATTGATCGAAACTGGTCTGAAACGGATTCCTACGTGCACGCTGATTCTTTGTCCAGAGGATAGTCACGGCCTGAGGATTACATTGGTGCAAGAGAAATTCCAGGAGGATTAGCGGAACATAGGTGAATTGATCGAAACTGGTCTGAAACGGATTCCAACGTGCACGCTGATTCTTTGTCCAGAGGATAGTCACGGCCTGAGGATTACATTGGTGCAAGATAAGTTCCAGTAGGATTAGCGGAACATAGGTGAATTGATCGAAACTGGGCTTAAACGGCCTCCTATATGTGAGGACCATTTTTTGTCCAGAGGATAGCCACGGCCTGAGGATTACATTGGTGCAAGAGAAATTCCAGTATGATTAGCGGAACATAGGTGAATTGATCGAAAGTGGGCTTAAACGGCGTCCTATGGGGACCATTGTTTGTCCAGAGGATAGTCACGGCCTGAGGATTACATTGGTGCAAGAGAAATTCCAGTATGATTAGCGGAACATAGGTGAATTGATCGAAACTGGGCTGAAACGGCGTTCTATGGGGGGGGGACCATTGTTTGTCCAGAGGATAGTCACGGCCTGAGGAATTCATTGGTGCAAGAGAAATTCCAGTAGGATTAGCGGAACATAGGTGAATTGATCGAAACTGGGCTTAAACGGCGTCCTATAGGTGAGGACCATTGATTGTCCAGAGGATAGTCACGGCCTGAGGATTACATTGGTGCAAGAGAAATTCCAGTATGATTAGCGGAACATAGGTGAATTGATCGAAACTAGGCTTAAACGGCGTCCTATGGGGGGGACCATTGTTTGTCCAGAGGATAGTCACGGCCTGAGGATTACATTGGTGCAAGAGAAATTCCAGTAGGATTAGCGGAACATAGGTGAATTGATCGAAACTGGTCTGAAACGGATTCCAACGTGCACGCTGATTCTTTGTCCAGAGGATAGTCACGGCCTGAGGATTACATTGGTGCAAGATAAGTTCCAGTAGGATTAGCGGAACATAGGTGAATTGATCGAAACTGGGCTTAAACGGCCTCCTATATGTGAGGACCATTTTTTGTCCAGAGGATAGCCACGGCCTGAGGATTACATTGGTGCAAGAGAAATTCCAGTATGATTAGCGGAACATAGGTGAATTGATCGAAAGTGGGCTTAAACGGCGTCCTATGGGAGGGGGGACCATTGTTTGTCCAGAGGATAGTCACGGCCTGAGGATTACATTGGTGCAAGAGAAATTCCAGTATGATTAGCGGAACATAGGTGAATTGATCGAAACTGGGCTGAAACGGCGTTCTATGGGGGGGGGACCATTGTTTGTCCAGAGGATAGTCACGGCCTGAGGAATTCATTGGTGCAAGAGAAATTCCAGTAGGATTAGCGGAACATAGGTGAATTGATCGAAAGTGGGCTTAAACGGCGTCCTATAGGTGAGGACCATTGATTGTCCAGAGGATAGTCACGGCCTGAGGATTACATTGGTGCAAGAGAAATTCCAGTATGATTAGCGGAACATAGGTGAATTGATCGAAACTAGGCTTAAACGGCGTCCTATGGGGGGGACCATTGTTTGTCCAGAGGATAGTCACGGCCTGAGGATTACATTGGTGCAAGAGAAATTCCAGTAGGATTAGCGGAACATAGGTGAATTGATCGAAACTGGGCTGAAACGGATTCCAACGTGCACGCTGATTCTTTGTCCAGAGGGTAGTCACGGCCTGAGGATAACATTGATGCAAGAGAAATTCCAGGAGGATTAGCGGAACATAGGTGAATTGATCAAAACTGGGCTTAAACGGCGTCCTATGGGGACCATTGTTTGTCCAGAGGATAGTCACGGCCTGAGGATTACATTGGTGCAAGAGAAATTCCAGGAGGATTAGCGGAACATAGGTGAATTGATCGAAACTGGGCTGAAACGGCGTCCTATGGGGGGAGGGACCATTGTTTGTCCAGAGGATAGTCACGGCCTGAGGATTACATTGGTGCAAGAGAAATTCCAGTAGGATTAGCGGAACATAGGTGAATTGATCGAAGCTGGGCTGAAACGGCGTCCTATGTCGAGGGACCATTGTTTGTCCAGAGGATAGTCACGGCCTGAGGATTACATTGGTGCAAGAGAAATTCCAGTAGGATTAGCGGAACATAGGTGAATTGATCGAAAATGTTCCTCAACGGGGTCCTATGAGGACCATTGTTTGTCCAGAGGATAGTCACGGCCTGAGGATTACATTGTTGCAAGAGAAATTCCAGTAGGATTAGCGGAACATAGGTGAATTGATCGAAACTGGGCTTAAACGGCGTCCTATGGGGGGGGACCATTGTTTGTCCAGAGGATAGTCACGGCCTGAGGATTACATTGGTGCAAGAGAAATTCCAGTATGATTAGCGGAACATAGGTGAATTGATCGAAGCTGGGCTGAAACGGCGTCCTATGGGGGGAGGGACCATTGTTTGTCCAGAGGATAGTCACGGCCTGAGGATTACATTGGTGCAAGAGAAATTCCAGTAGGATTAGCGGAACATAGGTGAATTGATCGAAACTGGGCTGAAACGGATTCCAACGTGCACGCTGTTTCTTTGTCCAGAGGATAGTCACGGCCTGAGGATTACATTGGTGCAAGATAAGTTCCAGTAGGATTAGCGGAACATAGGTGAATTGATCGAAACTGGGCTTAAACGGCCTCCTATATATATGAGGACCATTTTTTGTCCAGAGGATAGCCACGGCCTGAGGATTACATTGGTGCAAGAGAAATTCCAGTATGATTAGCGGAACATAGGTGAATTGATCGAAAGTGGGCTTAAACGGCGTCCTATGGGAGGGGGGACCATTGTTTGTCCAGAGGATAGTCACGGCCTGAGGATTACATTGGTGCAAGAGAAATTCCAGTATGATTAGCGGAACATAGGTGAATTGATCGAAACTGGGCTGAAACGGCGTTCTATGGGGGGGGGACCATTTTTTGTCCAGAGGATAGTCACGGCCTGAGGAATTCATTGGTGCAAGAGAAATTCCAGTAGGATTAGCGGAACATAGGTGAATTGATCGAAACTGGGCTTAAACGGCGTCCTATAGGTGAGGACCATTGATTGTCCAGAGGATAGTCACGGCCTGAGGATTACATTGGTGCAAGAGAAATTCCAGTAGGATTAGCGGAACATAGGTGAATTGATCGAAACTAGGTTTAAAGGGCGTCCTATGGGGGGGAACATTGTTTGTCCAGAGGATAGTCACGGCCTGAGGATTACATTGGTGCAAGATAAATTCCAGTAGGATTAGCGAAACATAGGTGAATTGATCGAAACTGGGCTGAAACGGATTCCAACGGGCACGCTGATTCTTTGTCCAGAGGATAGTCACGGCCTGAGGATTACATTGGTGCAAGAGAAATTCCAGTAGGATTAGCGGAACATAGGTGAATTGATCGAAACTGGTCTGAAACGGATTCCTACGTGCACGCTGATTCTTTGTCCAGAGGATAGTCACGGCCTGAGGATAACATTGATGCAAGAGAAATTCCAGTAGGATTAGCGGAACATAGGTGAATTGATCAAAACTGGGCTTAAACGGCGTCCTATGGGGACCATTGTTTGTCCAGAGGATAGTCACGGCCTGAGGATTACATTTCTGCAAGAGAAATTCCAGTATGATTAGCGGAACATAGGTGAATTGATCAAAACTGGGCGTAAACGGCGTCCTATGGGGGAGGGACCATTGTTTGTCCAGAGGATAGTCACGGCCTGAGGATTACATTGGTGCAAGAGAAATTCCAGTAGGATTAGCGGAACATAGGTGAATTGATCGAAGCTGGGCTGAAACGGCGTCCTATGTGGAGGGACCATTGTTTGTCCAGAGGATAGTCACGGCCTGAGGATTACATTGGTGCAAGAGAAATTCCAGTAGGATTAGCGGAACATAGGTGAATTGATCGAAAATGTTCCTCAACGGGGTCCTATGAGGACCATTGTTTGTCCAGAGGATAGTCACGGCCTGAGGATTACATTGTTGCAAGAGAAATTCCAGTAGGATTAGCGGAACATAGGTGAATTGATCGAAACTGGGCTCAAACGGCCTCCTATGGGGGGGACCATTGTTTGTCCAGAGGATAGTCACGGCCTGAGGATTACATTGGTGCAAGAGAAATTCCAGTATGATTAGCGGAACATAGGTGAATTGATCGAAGCTGGGCTGAAACGGCGTCCTATGGGGGGAGGGACCATTGTTTGTCCAGAGGATAGTCACGGCCTGAGGATTACATTGGTGCAAGAGAAATTCCAGTAGGATTAGCGGAACATAGGTGAATTGATCGAAACTGGTCTGAAACGGATTCCAACGTGCACGCTGATTCTTTGTCCAGAGGATAGTCACGGCCTGAGGATTACATTGGTGCAAGATAAGTTCCAGTAGGATTAGCGGAACATAGGTGAATTGATCGAAACTGGGCTTAAACGGCCTCCTATATGTGAGGACCATTTTTTGTCCAGAGGATAGCCACGGCCTGAGGATTACATTGGTGCAAGAGAAATTCCAGTATGATTAGCGGAACATAGGTGAATTGATCGAAGCTGGGCTGAAACGGCGTCCTATGTGGAGGGACCATTGTTTGTCCAGAGGATAGTCACGGCCTGAGGATTACATTGGTGCAAGAGAAATTCCAGTAGGATTAGCGGAACATAGGTGAATTGATCGAAAATGTTCCTCAACGGGGTCCTATGAGGACCATTGTTTGTCCAGAGGATAGTCACGGCCTGAGGATTACATTGGTGCAAGAGAAATTCCAGTAGGATTAGCGGAACATAGGTGAATCGATCGAAACTGGGCTCAAACGGCCTCCTATGGGGGGGACCATTGTTTGTCCAGAGGATAGTCACGGCCTGAGGATTACATTGGTGCAAGAGAAATTCCAGTATGATTAGCGGAACATAGGTGAATTGATCGAAGCTGGGCTGAAACGGCGTCCTATGGGGGGAGGGACCATTGTTTGTCCAGAGGATAGTCACGGCCTGAGGATTACATTGGTGCAAGAGAAATTCCAGTAGGATTAGCGGAACATAGGTGAATTGATCGAAACTGGTCTGAAACGGATTCCAACGGGCACGCTGATCCTTTGTCCAGAGGATAGTCACGGCCTGAGGATTACATTGGTGCAAGATAAGTTCCAGTAGGATTAGCGGAACATAGGTGAATTGATCGAAACTGGGCTTAAACGGCCTCCTATATGTGAGGACCATTTTTTGTCCAGAGGATAGCCACGGCCTGAGGATTACATTGGTGCAAGAGAAATTCCAGTATGATTAGCGGAACATAGGTGAATTGATCGAAAGTGGGCTTAAACGGCGTCCTATGGGAGGGGGGACCATTGTTTGTCCAGAGGATAGTCACGGCCTGAGGATTACATTGGTGCAAGAGAAATTCCAGTATGATTAGCGGAACATAGGTGAATTGATCGAAAGTGGGCTTAAACGGCGTCCTATGGGAGGGGGGACCATTGTTTGTCCAGAGGATAGTCACGGCCTGAGTAATTCATTGGTGCAAGAGAAATTCCAGTAGGATTAGCGGAACATAGGTGAATTGATCGAAACTGGGCTTAAACGGCGTCCTATAGGTGAGGACCATTGATTGTCCAGAGGATAGTCACGGCCTGAGGATTACATTGGTGCAAGAGAAATTCCAGTATGATTAGCGGAACATAGGTGAATTGATCGAAACTAGGCTTAAACGGCGTCCTATGGGGGGGACCATTGTTTGTCCAGAGGATAGTCACGGCCTGAGGATTACATTGGTGCAAGATAAATTCCAGTATGATTAGCGGAACATAGGTGAATTGATCGAAACTGGGCTGAAACGGATTCCAACGGGCACGCTGATTCTTTGTCCAGAGGATAGTCACGGCCTGAGGATTACATTGGTGCAAGAGAAATTCCAGTAGGATTAGCGGAACATAGGTGAATTGATCGAAACTGGTCTGAAACGGATTCCAACGTGCACGCTGATTCTTTGTCCAGAGGATAGTCACGGCCTGAGGATAACATTGATGCAAGAGAAATTCCAGGAGGATTAGCGGAACATAGGTGAATTGATCAAAACTGGGCTTAAACGGGGTCCTATGAGGACCATTGTTTGTCCAGAGGATAGTCACGGCCTGAGGATTACATTGTTGCAAGAGAAATTCCAGTAGGATTAGCGGAACATAGGTGAATTGATCGAAACTGGGCTTAAACGGCGTCCTATGGGGGGGGACCATTGTTTGTCCAGAGGATAGTCACGGCCTGAGGATTACATTGGTGCAAGAGAAATTCCAGTAGGATTAGCGGAACATAGGTGAATTGATCGAAACTGGGCTGAAACGGATTCCAACGGGCACGCTGATTCTTTGTCCAGAGGATAGTCACGGCCTGATGATTACATTGGTGCAAGAGAAATTCCAGTAGGATTAGCGGAACATAGGTGAATTGATCGAAAGTGGGCTTAAACGGCGTCCTATGGGAGGGGGGGGGACCATTGTTTGTCCAGAGGATAGTCACGGCCTGAGGATTACATTGGTGCAAGAGAAATTCCAGTAGGATTAGCGGAACATAGGTGAATTGATCGAAACTGGGCTCAAACGGATTCATACGTGCACGCTGATTCTTTGTCCAGAGGATAGTCACGGCCTGAGGATTACATTGGTGCAAGATAAGTTCCAGTATGATTAGCGGAACATAGGTGAATTGATCGAAGCTAGGCTTAAACGGCGTCCTATGGGAGGGGGGACCATTGTTTGTCCAGAGGATAGTCACGGCCTGAGGATTACATTGGTGCAAGATCAATTCCAGTAGGATTAGCGGAACATAGGTGAATTGATCGAAACTGGGCTGAAACGGCGTCCTATGGGGACCATTGTTTGTCCAGAGGATAGTCACGGCCTGATGATTACATTGGTGCAAGATAAGTTCCAGTAGGATTAGCGGAACATAGGTGAATTGATCGAAACTGGTCTGAAACGGATTCCAACGTGCACGCTGATTCTTTGTCCAGAGGATAGTCACGGCCTGAGGATTACATTGGTGCAAGATAAGTTCCAGTAGGATTAGCGGAACATAGGTGAATTGATCGAAACTGGGCTGAAACGGCGTTCTATGGGGGGGGACCATTGTTTGTCCAGAGGATAGTCACGGCCTGATGATTACATTGGTGCAAGAGAAATTCCAGTAGGATTAGCGGAACATAGGTGAATTGATCGAAACTGGGCTTAAACGGCGTCCTATAGGTGAGGACCATTGATTGTCCAGAGGATAGTCACGGCCTGAGGATTACATTGGTGCAAGAGAAATTCCAGTATGATTAGCGGAACATAGGTGAATTGATCGAAACTAGGCTTAAACGGCGTCCTATGGGGGAGGGACCATTGTTTGTCCAGAGGATAGTCACGGCCTGAGGATTACATTGGTGCAAGAGAAATTCCAGTAGGATTAGCGGAACATAGGTGAATTGATCGAAACTGGGCTGAAACGGATTCCAACGGGCACGCTGATTCTTTGTCCAGAGGATAGTCACGGCCTGAGGATTACATTGGTGCAAGAGAAATTCCAGTAGGATTAGCGGAACATAGGTGAATTGATCGAAACTGGGCTGAAACGGATTCCAACGGGCACGCTGATTCTTTGTCCAGAGGATAGTCACGGCCTGATGATTACATTGGTGCAAGAGAAATTCCAGTAGGATTAGCGGAACATAGGTGAATTGATCGAAAGTGGGCTTAAACGGCGTCCTATGGGAGGGGGGGGTACCATTGTTTGTCCAGAGGATAGTCACGGCCTGAGGATTACATTGGTGCAAGAGAAATTCCAGTAGGATTAGCGGAACATAGGTGAATTGATCGAAACTGGGCTTAAACGGATTCCTACGTGCACGCTGATTCTTTGTCCAGAGGATAGTCACGGCCTGAGGATTACATTGGTGCAAGATAAGTTCCAGTATGATTAGCGGAACATAGGTGAATTGATCGAAACTGGGCTTAAACGGCGTCCTATGGGAGGGGGGACCATTGTTTGTCCAGAGGATAGTCACGGCCTGAGGATTACATTGGTGCAAGATCAATTCCAGTAGGATTAGCGGAACATAGGTGAATTGATCGAAACTGGGCTGAAACGGCGTCCTATGGGGACCATTGTTTGTCCAGAGGATAGTCACGGCCTGAGGATTACATTGGTGCAAGATAAGTTCCAGTAGGATTAGCGGAACATAGGTGAATTGATCGAAACTGGTCTGAAACGGATTCCAACGTGCACGCTGATTCTTTGTCCAGAGGATAGTCACGGCCTGAGGATTACATTGGTGCAAGATAAGTTCCAGTAGGATTAGCGGAACATAGGTGAATTGATCGAAACTGGGCTGAAACGGCGTTCTATGGGGGGGGGACCATTGTTTGTCCAGAGGATAGTCACGGCCTGATGATTACATTGGTGCAAGAGAAATTCCAGTAGGATTAGCGGAACATAGGTGAATTGATCGAAACTGGGCTTAAACGGCGTCCTATAGGTGAGGACCATTGATTGTCCAGAGGATAGTCACGGCCTGAGGATTACATTGGTGCAAGAGAAATTCCAGTATGATTAGCGGAACATAGGTGAATTGATCGAAACTAGGCTTAAACGGCGTCCTATGGGGGAGGGACCATTGTTTGTCCAGAGGATAGTCACGGCCTGAGGATTACATTGGTGCAAGATAAATTCCAGTAGGATTAGCGGAACATAGGTGAATTGATCGAAACTGGGCTGAAACGGATTCCAACGGGCACGCTGATTCTTTGTCCAGAGGATAGTCACGGCCTGAGGATTACATTGGTGCAAGAGAAATTCCAGTAGGATTAGCGGAACATAGGTGAATTGATCGAAACTGGTCTGAAACGGATTCCAACGTGCACGCTGATTCTTTGTCCAGAGGATAGTCACGGCCTGAGGATAACATTGATGCAAGAGAAATTCCAGGAGGATTAGCGGAACATAGGTGAATTGATCAAAACTGGGCTTAAACGGCGTCCTATGGGGACCATTGTTTGTCCAGAGGATAGTCACGGCCTGAGGATTACATTGGTGCAAGAGAAATTCCAGTATGATTAGCGGAACATAGGTGAATTGATCGAAACTAGGTTTAAACGGCGTCCTATGGGGACCATTGTTTGTCCAGAGGATAGTCACGGCCTGAGGATTACATTGGTGCAAGAGAAATTCCAGTAGGATTAGCGGAACATAGGTGAATTGATCGAAACTGGGCTGAAACGGATTCCAACGGGCACGCTGATTCTTTGTCCAGAGGATAGTCACGGCCTGAGGATTACATTGGTGCAAGATCAATTCCAGTAGGATTAGCGGAACATAGGTGAATTGATCGAAACTGGTCTGAAACGGATTCCTACGTGCACGCTGATTCTTTGTCCAGAGGATAGTCACGGCCTGAGGATAACATTGATGCAAGAGAAATTCCAGGAGGATTAGCGGAACATAGGTGAATTGATCAAAACTGGGCTTAAACGGCGTCCTATGGGGACCATTGTTTGTCCAGAAGATAGTCACGGCCTGAGGATTACATTGGTGCAAGAGAAATTCCAGTATGATTAGCGGAACATAGGTGAATTGATCGAAAGTGGGCTGAAACGGATTCCAACGGGCACGCTGATTCTTTGTCCAGAGGATAGTCACGGCCTGAGGATTACATTGGTGCAAGAGAAATTCCAGTAGGATTAGCGGAACATAGGTGAATTGATCGAAACTGGTCTGAAACGGATTCCAACGTGCACGCTGATTCTTTGTCCAGAGGATAGTCACGGCCTGAGGATAACATTGATGCAAGAGAAATTCCAGGAGGATTAGCGGAACATAGGTGAATTGATCAAAACTGGGCTTAAACGGGGTCCTATGAGGACCATTGTTTGTCCAGAGGATAGTCACGGCCTGAGGATTACATTGTTGCAAGAGAAATTCCAGTAGGATTAGCGGAACATAGGTGAATTGATCGAAACTGGGCTTAAACGGCGTCCTATGGGGGGGGACCATTGTTTGTCCAGAGGATAGTCACGGCCTGAGGATTACATTGGTGCAAGAGAAATTCCAGTATGATTAGCGGAACATAGGTGAATTGATCGAAACTGGGCTGAAACGGATTCCAACGGGCACGCTGATTCTTTGTCCAGAGGATAGTCACGGCCTGAGGATTACATTGGTGCAAGAGAAATTCCAGTATGATTAGCGGAACATAGGTGAATTGATCGAAACTGGGCTTAAACGGCGTCCTATGGGAGGGGGGACCATTGTTTGTCCAGAGGATAGTCACGGCCTGAGGAATTCATTGGTGCAAGAGAAATTCCAGTAGGATTAGCGGAACATAGGTGAATTGATCGAAACTGGGCTTAAACGGCGTCCTATATCTGAGGACCATTTTTTGTCCAGAGGATAGTCACGGCCTGAGGATTACATTGGTGCAAGAGAAATTCCAGTAGGATTAGCGGAACATAGGTGAATTGATCGAAACTAGGCTTAAACGGCGTCCTATGGGGGGGACCATTGTTTGTCCAGAGGATAGTCACGGCCTGAGGATTACATTGGTGCAAGAGAAATTCCAGGAGGATTAGCGGAACATAGGTGAATTGATCAAAACTGGGCTTAAACGGGGTCCTATGAGGACCATTGTTTGTCCAGAGGATAGTCACGGCCTGAGGATTACATTGTTGCAAGAGAAATTCCAGTAGGATTAGCGGAACATAGGTGAATTGATCGAAACTGGGCTTAAACGGCGTCCTATGGGGGGGGACCATTGTTTGTCCAGAGGATAGTCACGGCCTGAGGATTACATTGGTGCAAGAGAAATTCCAGTAGGATTAGCGGAACATAGGTGAATTGATCGAAACTGGGCTGAAACGGATTCCAACGGGCACGCTGATTCTTTGTCCAGAGGATAGTCACGGCCTGAGGATTACATTGGTGCAAGAGAAATTCCAGTAGGATTAGCGGAACATAGGTGAATTGATCGAAACTGGCTGAAACGGCGTCCTATGGGGGGGGACCATTGTTTGTCCAGAGGATAGTCACGGCCTGAGGATTACATTGGTGCAAGAGAAATTCCAGTAGGATTAGCGGAACATAGGTGAATTGATCGAACTTGGGCTCAAACGGATTCCTACGTGCACGCTGATTCTTTGTCCAGAGGATAGTCACGGCCTGAGGATTACATTGGTGCAAGAGAAATTCCAGTATCATTAGCGGAACATAGGTGAATTGATCGAAACTGGGCTCAAACGGCCTCCTATGGGGGGGACCATTGTTTGTCCAGAGGATAGTCACGGCCTGAGGATTACATTGGTGCAAGATCAATTCCAGTAGGATTAGCGGAACATAGGTGAATTGATCGAAACTGGGCTCAAACGGCGTTCTATGGGGGGGGGACCATTGTTTGTCCAGAGGATAGTCACGGCCTGATGATTACATTGGTGCAAGAGAAATTCCAGTAGGATTAGCGGAACATAGGTGAATTGATCGAAACTGGTCTGAAACGGATTCCAACGTGCACGCTGATTCTTTGTCCAGAGGATAGTCACGGCCTGAGGATTACATTGGTGCAAGATAAGTTCCAGTAGGATTAGCGGAACATAGGTGAATTGATCGAAACTGGGCTTAAACGGCCTCCTATATGTGAGGACCATTTTTTGTCCAGAGGATAGCCACGGCCTGAGGATTACATTGGTGCAAGAGAAATTCCAGTATGATTAGCGGAACATAGGTGAATTGATCGAAAGTGGGCTTAAACGGCGTCCTATGGGAGGGGGGACCATTGTTTGTCCAGAGGATAGTCACGGCCTGAGGATTACATTGGTGCAAGAGAAATTCCAGTATGATTAGCGGAACATAGGTGAATTGATCGAAACTGGGCTGAAACGGCGTTCTATGGGGGGGGGGACCATTGTTTGTCCAGAGGATAGTCACGGCCTGAGGAATTCATTGGTGCAAGAGAAATTCCAGTAGGATTAGCGGAACATAGGTGAATTGATCGAAACTGGGCTTAAACGGCGTCCTATATCTGAGGACCATTTTTTGTCCAGAGGATAGTCACGGCCTGAGGATTACATTGGTGCAAGAGAAATTCCAGTAGGATTAGCGGAACATAGGTGAATTGATCGAAACTGGGCTTAAACGGCGTCCTATATCTGAGGACCATTTTTTGTCCAGAGGATAGTCACGGCCTGAGGATTACATTGGTGCAAGAGAAATTCCAGTAGGATTAGCGGAACATAGGTGAATTGATCGAAACTAGGCTTAAACGGCGTCCTATGGGGGGGACCATTGTTTGTCCAGAGGATAGTCACGGCCTGAGGATTACATTGGTGCAAGAGAAATTCCAGGAGGATTAGCGGAACATAGGTGAATTGATCAAAACTGGGCTTAAACGGGGTCCTATGAGGACCATTGTTTGTCCAGAGGATAGTCACGGCCTGAGGATTACATTGTTGCAAGAGAAATTCCAGTAGGATTAGCGGAACATAGGTGAATTGATCGAAACTGGGCTTAAACGGCGTCCTATGGGGGGGGACCATTGTTTGTCCAGAGGATAGTCACGGCCTGAGGATTACATTGGTGCAAGAGAAATTCCAGTAGGATTAGCGGAACATAGGTGAATTGATCGAAACTGGGCTGAAACGGATTCCAACGGGCACGCTGATTCTTTGTCCAGAGGATAGTCACGGCCTGAGGATTACATTGGTGCAAGAGAAATTCCAGTAGGATTAGCGGAACATAGGTGAATTGATCGAAACTGGCTGAAACGGCGTCCTATGGGGGGGGACCATTGTTTGTCCAGAGGATAGTCACGGCCTGAGGATTACATTGGTGCAAGAGAAATTCCAGTAGGATTAGCGGAACATAGGTGAATTGATCGAACTTGGGCTCAAACGGATTCCTACGTGCACGCTGATTCTTTGTCCAGAGGATAGTCACGGCCTGAGGATTACATTGGTGCAAGAGAAATTCCAGTATCATTAGCGGAACATAGGTGAATTGATCGAAACTGGGCTCAAACGGCCTCCTATGGGGGGGACCATTGTTTGTCCAGAGGATAGTCACGGCCTGAGGATTACATTGGTGCAAGATCAATTCCAGTAGGATTAGCGGAACATAGGTGAATTGATCGAAACTGGGCTCAAACGGCGTTCTATGGGGGGGGGACCATTGTTTGTCCAGAGGATAGTCACGGCCTGATGATTACATTGGTGCAAGAGAAATTCCAGTAGGATTAGCGGAACATAGGTGAATTGATCGAAACTGGTCTGAAACGGATTCCAACGTGCACGCTGATTCTTTGTCCAGAGGATAGTCACGGCCTGAGGATTACATTGGTGCAAGATAAGTTCCAGTAGGATTAGCGGAACATAGGTGAATTGATCGAAACTGGGCTTAAACGGCCTCCTATATGTGAGGACCATTTTTTGTCCAGAGGATAGCCACGGCCTGAGGATTACATTGGTGCAAGAGAAATTCCAGTATGATTAGCGGAACATAGGTGAATTGATCGAAAGTGGGCTTAAACGGCGTCCTATGGGAGGGGGGACCATTGTTTGTCCAGAGGATAGTCACGGCCTGAGGATTACATTGGTGCAAGAGAAATTCCAGTATGATTAGCGGAACATAGGTGAATTGATCGAAACTGGGCTGAAACGGCGTTCTATGGGGGGGGGACCATTGTTTGTCCAGAGGATAGTCACGGCCTGAGGAATTCATTGGTGCAAGAGAAATTCCAGTAGGATTAGCGGAACATAGGTGAATTGATCGAAACTGGGCTTAAACGGCGTCCTATAGGTGAGGACCATTGATTGTCCAGAGAATAGTCACGGCCTGAGGATTACATTGGTGCAAGAGAAATTCCAGTATGATTAGCGGAACATAGGTGAATTGATCGAAACTAGGCTTAAACGGCGTCCTATGGGGGGGACCATTGTTTGTCCAGAGGATAGTCACGGCCTGAGGATTACATTGGTGCAAAATAAATTCCAGTAGGATTAGCGGAACATAGGTGAATTGATCGAAACTGGGCTGAAACGGATTCCAACGGGCACGCTGATTCTTTGTCCAGAGGATAGTCACGGCCTGAGGATTACATTGGTGCAAGAGAAATTCCAGTAGGATTAGCGGAACATAGGTGAATTGATCGAAACTGGTCTGAAACGGATTCCTACGTGCACGCTGATTCTTTGTCCAGAGGATAGTCACGGCCTGAGGATAACATTGATGCAAGAGAAATTCCAGGAGGATTAGCGGAACATAGGTGAATTGATCAAAACTGGGCTTAAACGGCGTCCTATGAGGGGGGGACCATTGTTTGTCCAGAGGATAGTCACGGCCTGAGGATTACATTGGTGCAAGAGAAATTCCAGGAGGATTAGCGGAACATAAGTGAATTGATCAAAACTGGGCGTAAACGGCGTCCTATGGGGGGAGGGACCATTGTTTGTCCAGAGGATAGTCACGGCCTGAGGATTACATTGGTGCAAGAGAAATTCCAGTAGGATTAGCGGAACATAGGTGAATTGATCGAAGCTGGGCTGAAACGGCGTCCTATGTGGAGGGACCATTGTTTGTCCAGAGGATAGTCACGGCCTGAGGATTACATTGGTGCAAGAGAAATTCCAGTATGATTAGCGGAACATAGGTGAATTGATCGAAAATGTTCCTCAACGGGGTCCTATGAGGACCATTGTTTGTCCAGAGGATAGTCACGGCCTGAGGATTACATTGTTGCAAGAGAAATTCCAGTAGGATTAGCGGAACATAGGTGAATTGATCGAAACTGGGCTCAAACGGCCTCCTATGGGGGGGACCATTGTTTGTCCAGAGGATAGTCACGGCCTGAGGATTACATTGGTGCAAGAGAAATTCCAGTATGATTAGCGGAACATAGGTGAATTGATCGAAGCTGGGCTTAAACGGCGTCCTATGTGGAGGGACCATTGTTTGTCCAGAGGATAGTCACGGCCTGAGGATAACATTGGTGCAAGAGAAATTCCAGTAGG